CTCTCTCCTCCGCAGGGGGCCGGAGTGGGTAGGGGAGAGGCCGGGTCAGGGGTGACGGCATCGGGGAACATCGACTCCGCGCGCTGAGACCTCAGCCCCTGGAACCCGGACGCTCCCGATCCGGATTCCCTGACCATGCAGGCTACGCGCGGACCTCCGCTGCAGACCCGGCTTGGCGGGGACGGCTGCGCGGCCGTCCCGGAGCCGGGCCTCCCGCCCGCTCCTTGGCCCCGGGCGCCCTCTGGCGGACCCAGACGGGAACTTCGCCGACGGCCGAGGAGACTCGAGGGCCGAAGGGGACCCCCCTCCTGGGGCTACTGGGGGAGGACAGGGTCGGCGTCCTAACCTGGCCGCGCCATCCCGCGGGGCTCCTCGCCTGGCGTCCCGGCCCCCGCCGTCCTCGCCTCGGCACCAGCACCAGGACTGCTCCGGCCCTGTAAGAGAGCAAAGCCCGCTCAGGCTGATGCAAGATTTAGGCACACAGAGCCCTGGTGAGACCCAGCGCCTTCCCCAGAGCAGGGGCATAGCCGCCCCAGGGCGGGCCCCGTCCTGGGACCCTGCCGCGCTGAAGGGAAGGAACAGAAAAGCGGAGGACCCTGCAGGCGTCCGAAGTGGGTCCTGTCCGGATGTCTGCCTGGACCCCCGATGCGTCACCTTTCTGAGCTTCAGGTCCTCCCGGGCGCATTTGGTCCGTCTGCTGAAGACACCGCCTAAGCGCAGGCTTCCCAGAAGCTTTGGGAGGGTGAATGCACCGGAAGCTGCTGTCTGTTCCGAGCTCAGGGCTGGCAGACAGAGCCGCAGAGGACAGAGCCCCCCATATTCACCCTGGTCGGCAGCTGAAGATCTGGGTGGTCCTTCAGCCTGTTCCCAGGGTCAGGAGTGGGGTCAGGCGCGAACCGCGCTCACCTGGTGAGAGCAGCGTGACAGCGCCTTCCGCCCGGGAGTCCCGCTCTGGCCCGAGGCCTCCACCAGGTTCCATCACAGCTTCCTGCAAGCGCCCTGGAAAGAGAGGAGCCCAGAGTCCACGGTGGTGGGGAGGCCACACCCGGGCAGTGGGAGCCTCTGGCAGGAAGGCAGGCTTCCCCCCAGGACGGGAACCCCGGGGCAGCCAAGCATCCTTCTGGCCCCGCCCAGAGTCACTCCCGAGCCTCTGCCCACCCTGTTGGTCATGCGGGTGCTGCGGTCTGAACGTTGTGACCTGACCCCAGCATCCATAAACTGAAACTTAATCATCAGTGTGGTGGTCCTGAGGGGCCTTGAGAGGTGATTAAGTCAGGAGGGAGATTAGTGCCCCTATAAAAAACAGCCTGATAGCTAGCATGGCTGAGTCCCTGGGCTCAGTCCCCAGCACTGAAAAAAAATTGAATGTAAAACTAATAAAAATCTAAATAATAATAAACCAATAAAAACTTAAATAATCATAAACTGGGCCTGGTGGCACATGTCTATAATCCCAGCACT